TTTTCAATTCAAGAGGACAATATGCTGAATGAAAAAAAAAAAAAAATGGTCAAAGTGCAAAATTTATTCATTGATTAAGTCCATTTGAAAAGTACCCCTAGAAAATGCTCCTCTGAACACTATATATACGTGTTTGTAGAGAGAGAAAATGGTGTGAGAGAGTCTGTACCTTTCCTCCTCCTTTAATGGCGTGAGATCGTACCAGACCAGAGAGTGTATGCTTGTTTATCATATACAGTATATGTATGTTCTTCTTGGCATGCTTCACCAACTCTTATTCTTAGAAAACCCAAAACCCAAATGGACTAAAAGGAAAGGAAAAAATATATATTTTTAAACAAAATGAAATGCTTTTGAAATTTCACCATCACAATCCCATTCCCACCGCGTCTTTCCATTTTCATCAACTTCACTTTTGGGATTCTTAGACCCAGATGATAAAAAGCGGTAATCTCTCATTGATTTTGACTGGGTTCTTTACTCTCGATCATTTCCTGTTGTCGGTCTTTTGATACTCGTATTGTTTCGTTGTGAAATCTTGTGTTGTATATTTGGTGTTGTTATTTCTGGTTTGCTATTTTTGTTGTGTTTTTTATGTATGAGCGCGTGAAGATCGAGATGAAAAGTGTAGGAAACATGATTGATGATGAACTTGAGATGTTACTGGGTGAGATCCCTCATGCAACATCATCATTGAATCTTCATCATACGCATAGCAATGTCCATCATCATAGTCTTGTTGATCATACATCACACATGATACAGAAAATGAATGTTCATGGTATGTATGATGATGAACTATTGAGGCATAAATATGCATGTGCATCTTCCCCTGCCAGTCGGTTCTCATTACAATCTGACGGCTCTTCCTCAAGCTTGTTCTCTGGTGGGCGTTCGATTTCTGACAATGGATCGCCAACTCCACCCCAATTTGGAGAACTAAAGCCTCACCTGGTTTCTGGCAATGGATTCTGGTTAGATTTCAACCAGGCAAATGAAGTTAATACAGTTGACGGGCGGAGTTTATCGAGCAATTTCAGTAAAATGTACATTAGTAATGAGCGAGAGGATGCTTCAGTGCTCCCAAATGGTTTTCAATTTCGTGATCAGTCTGTGGATGGGCCTATTCGAATGAATTTTGAGAATTTTTGGGCATCTGATAACTATAGAAGGGGCTTCTCGGAATATAGAGGATTTAATGCCTCCCTTCCAAGAAATCCTATGAATTTTGATGGTGAGATGGTATCTGCATTGGCGGCTATGCTGCCTTACTCTAAAATGGGTAATTTATTTGGATCCCGGTATTCTCCTGGTGCATCTGAAGGATTATTTGCTCGAACAGAATATGGTAATTCAGATAAAAGTCCTCAATTTTATAATAATAATGCATCGGCTGGAAATTATTTTCCAATGGGGATTTCGACATCAAGGCCATCTTCCACTTTAAGAAGGCCTTCATTTGTTGATTCTTCTTATTATGCTTCGCAAAATGGGACGAATCTGATCCAAGACAGAGGTCCATTTCATTCACCCAACATGCTTCGATTGGCTCATCTAATACCTCAATTTAATGTGGAAAATTTACTCCATTATCAGCTACCCGCGCCTAATGGAAGAAATAGATTACCTTTGCATTTTAGAGAGCCTCAAAGGGGTGTTGAAGCTTTTGCCGGAGACGAGAGTCTGTTCCTTCAAGAGGACGGTTTAAATAATGCAATTAACAGAGGATGTAGTCGTCCAAAGTTCAAAAATACTTTGGGTTTTATGCATGAGAGTGGCACTGGTAAGGCTCAAGAAATTGCTGGTGCTCAAGAAAGTGGCCGGACTGCAAAAATGCATTGCCCTTTCTCCTTGCCATCAAAGTGTAGCTCCCTGACAGAAGCTCAAGGATATATATATCACATGGCGAAGGATCAGCATGGTTGCCGGTTTTTGCAGCAGATATTTGATGAAGGGACTCCTCAAGATGTGCAGATAATATTTAGTGAGATAGTTGATCATGCAGCTGAACTCATGACAAATCCATTTGGGAATTACCTTATGCAAAAACTGTTGGACGTGTGCAATGAAGAACAGAGTACTCAGATTCTGCTTAGGGTGACTGAGGTGCCCGGGGATCTTGTTAGGATCTCTCTGAATACACATGGGTAAGTCACACCCGTTTTGCTTTGCCGTCATCATTCTTCACGTTGATTAACCATTTTATTCTATTTTTATCAGCACTCGAGTGGTCCAAAAGTTGATTGAGTCACTCAAAACAAGGCAACAAATTTTGCTAGTTATTTCAGCACTTGAGCCAGGCTTTCTTGCCCTCATTAAAGACCTAAATGGTAATCACGTTGTTCAGCGATGCTTGCAATGTTTTACCAACGAAGATAGTAAGGTATATGCTTTTCTTTTTAAGCATTTTTGAGCTCAAAAATATTTAAATGCTTGCAATTTTATATCACTTCATCTACCATTTTGATGTCATATAGCCATGTCTGTCAATTTTCTGATACATGCAGTGATCATAAGTTCATAACCAAACATTTGTGTCTAGATTGAGCATATCTCCATTGTGATTTGTGAGTGTGCAGTTCATTTTCATTCATCTTTTGTGTTCATTTCTGTCATTTGTATGTTTATAGGTTGAATTTAAAATGTTAAAGTGGAAATTGCTTGGAGAATTTTCATCTTGCATTATGATTCAATATCGGCGAGATTTTCTATACAAAGAATGTATATGGTTGATATGGTCGGTCTTATAATCGTGGTTATCCACTTGCTATATCTCTCCCATCTTCTTCTCTCACTCTAAGACTGACACAGCCTTGATAATTCCCTGGAATTTCTTGAATTAGAGGTGAAAAATTTAGAAATATAGCTTAGTTTGTTTCATGTTTTAAAAAAAAAGGCTTGGTTTGTTTGGAATGAAATACATTAGATGATTAATTGTCTTCCTCAGCTCTCAAACTAAGAGAGGGCTATCAATTATTTTGTTCTAACAAGCCATTAGACATAAACTCATCATTGGATGTGCGACGCCTAGAATTTTAATCTGTTGTTACAGGTGACTATTGTCGAAGGATAAATATACCTATGGACCTCAGCCAGTTTCTAAGAACTCAGAGGGAAGTTTATAGGCAGTCAATGTTGAGAACATTATAAATGACAGAGTAATGTTTTATATCATGATCAATCTTTTTTCTCCCATATCCACATAGAGATAATATTTGGTAAGAATTGTTCTTCCTGCTTATTAAACTAATTTAGAAACGTGATGGCTTTCTCACTATTCATCTGATACACTCTCAGTTCCGAGTTTAACAGTGTGAATCTGGGGGGACGCAGATATCTAAAGACAAACACTAATGTGATAGTGTCACAAACTAAGTCCATAAAATTCATAGACTTCTCCACGAAGGAAAAGGAGAGTAAGGAAGAAAGTATTACAGTTCCCTAAATTATCATGCAATACGATGAATCCAGTGGATGGTTGGTGAGCAGTCCTTCCCCAGTGGAGCAAGTTAGGGTTATATTCTGAGTCAATATCCATTCCTTCCCAGAACAACCACTCAAAAAAAGAGGTAATAATGACAATTGGACTAAGAAAATTGATCGATACAAATATAACAGTGGGGGTACTTGTATGTGTATGTTAATATGTGTACAGCTGGCAACATCAATTTTCTTTATACTCATATCTTGTGAGTTCAGATACTGGACTTCTTAATTGTTTATGCATATGCTGCCTCCTTTATCTTCTAATGTGCATTTTGATAAATCGACATAATTCCTTTATGCGTATTAGTTAAACATAAAAAATGTGGAAATCTGTGACTCATAATCAAATGCATTTTCTTTTCAGAAAAGAAAAATTCAACCCCCCCCCCCCAGCGTTTATTTCTGGCTTGGATTTTTCTCTATGATTGTCCTAGTTTTTCCTGAAAACTCTAGAAAAGCTGCATAGCTGCTTCTTTGATAAAGCACCAGGCCAAAAGCATGACAACTATGGTGGGGCTGAACTTGCAAATCTTTTTCCTTAAAAAGCTCAGAATCATTAGTCCCATTTTTTTCCGTCTTTCACCTAGAACCCTTAACAGCCTAAGGATCTCTTGCTGACTTTGCCTCTAATTCCTCCACCGGCCTTGCTATGTACTGAGACTTTCCTTAGCATGATAAATAGAGTTTCCTATGATAATCTTTTTTCCAAGTTGTTTGCATCATCATCTCCAAAGGGCTTCTTATTGCTAGACAAGTCATGTAAATTCAGTTCTGCCGTTTGCTTAACTTAGTACAAACATTAGACTTCATGGTATCTTATACTCGTGAAATATACCATCTTTTAAAAAGTTAAAATTGTCTGGATCGGGCTTGTTTCTAGATAATGAATCTAGGAGCTCTCTAAGTGCCAGTATTTTTGTCAAAATTTTGGTTTCTGGGGAGGATATTGAATTATTGATAATTTTGGGTTTAGAAGCTCGTTTCAATTTAATATTGTAGCGGAATATTTTCACCAAAGGTTGCTCCGGGCTCAGTTTTTTCACCTCCAATCGACCCAAGAATTCTCCAGCCACAAAGACAGCCATGAAGGCAGAAGAGAAGACGGAAATGGGAGATAAAAAGTCATAGAGAAGGCAGATGATTTCTCAAAGAAAAGGGACACGATAGCTCACGGTCAAAATCAAGTGAGGAAAGGGCTGCATATATATAACACACATTAGGTTACAACAGTGGGCCCAAGCCTAATATACATAAGTAAGTATGTTCGGCATATAAGTGAGCGATGCTTATAAGCCGTCCAAGGAGAAGGGGTTTGGTCCATGAGCAGCACTAAATAAATTAGGCTGCTTCCAATAGCCCACTTAATTTTGTGGTTAGGTGGTCTTCATTAAGGTGTATACTTTTTATTTAGCCAATTGGTCGATGCTGATTGAGAAAATATACGAGTTACATCATAGTCCAAGAGATCGTTTGACAACAATTTGTCCAACAAATATAATGCATGCATTACAGGAGATTTGATAACCATCAAATCTCTAATATGCAAGCTAATAAATCTACTTATGACTTCCAATTATTTGCTAATTAACTTATAGGTTTATTGTCAAATGTTTGATGTTCGATATTATGGAAATTCAATCTGATGTTTCAAACTGTCAAGTATGTGAAGAAGCATGACAGAAATGAGTAGATGTTTCGCTCAATTACGATCCGTACTCGAACATGTTCGTTCGATGCCTCAACTGCCTTCTGCCACACATCTCTTTCCTTCGCTCTAGACCCACCCCAAAAATGGAATTCTGCTCTTTCCAACCATGGAATGAACAAGAACACTTTAATCCTGGGGCTTGTCTACACCATATCAACCTAGAGCTTAGGCATCTATCTCATGTTTCATGTCGACATGAATGGTGTGTAGATTCTGCCATTCTGGCTGATAAAGAGAAAATAGTTTGATTGTGGTTTTGCGTGAGCTCCAGTTCAATATCTTCAAATACTTCTGGCTGGGTTTAGTTAAAGGGATTATTTAAAAGAGATTGTGTCATCAGTCAAAGGTGTCTTGGAAACATGATAAAAAATTGGACTTGTGTATCTTCTTTCCCATTTTTTTTTTTTTGGGGTAATCTTAGCCTTTGTTTGGTAAGAACTTATATACGGTTTAATTTATAAACAGATAAAAATAAATTATGGATAAGTATATAGTAATTGAGGGTCCGTTCAAATGCGGGTTTGAAAATGAAATTTGACCATTTATAAATGATTTATAAATTTTGCCGAATGGAGGCTTTTATATGTTAACGTGTCACAAAACCAAAATCGGTTGTCTAACCAATGGAAATTTAGCATTATGCGTTGATAGTGTTGATGCTGCCACTTGCTTCGTAAATTAATAGCTTCTTGTGAAGTTCTCACTGATGATTTTTCTATATTACTTCAAGCCTTTCATTCTAAACTTATAGCTATGACAATTGTATTTGCAGTTCATTTTTGTTGCTGCTGCAACGTACTGTGTTGATATTGCGACGCATCAGCATGGATGCTGTGTTCTGCAACGATGCATCAGTCATTCAACTGGAGAACATTGGGAGAACTTGGTTGCTGAAATTTCTGCAAATGGGCTTCTACTTGCTCAAGATGCATATGGGTAAACTGCATTCGAAACGGATACCAATTTCTATTTTTAGGTTTCATCCATTTAGATTTGCTGGTATAGTTTTTGCTGTTCTTGAAGTGAAGCTTGATGGTTTTGCTTCAACATTTTTCCATTACCTGGTGGATTATCATATTCGTAATCACAAAAACCAGAACCTTTAGCTCTTTGCCTTTGGATGCCTAATTGATAATGCTCTTCATGTATAAGTTTCCGAAATTTTATTGAAGAGCTAGACTTCAGTCTGAATTTTCAAGTGTTTTTAATACATCCTTGCCAATTTTGAGGCAAGGTAGTTTCCAAATTTATTTTTATTTTCCAGATCCATATTTTTGTTGAAATAGTCAATCATCATTGAGAAGATTTGACAACTATAAGCCTTCATAAGTTCAGGTGTGCTTTTAGCATTGTCTAATGCATATCAAGTTCTTGGATCAAGCTTGATGTGACATTCAGTCCAAGTTTTCACTCCAGAGTCTATTTTATTTTGAGCATAATCGATAATTTTTTTGAAGATCATGATTTTTGAATGGGCACTCTCTTATATTTCACTTACTTTTTGGTCTTTTTCTGTTTGTCTCTAGATAATAGTTCAATTTACTATCTTACTTTCATCAAATTCATTAATGGCAAAAACTGTGTTCTAGATTTTCTACAAGTTATGCATTTCTTCTTTACCAATGTAGAGGCTGAGTTTGTTATTCTTTTACTATGTTTTTACCTGAAGTGTGATTTAATTTTGCTGCAGAAATTATGTTGTTCAATTTATTTTGGAGCTCAACATTCCATCTGTCACATCCAAATTGACATCTCAGTTTGATGGTAACTATGTACATCTTTCTACCCAAAAGTTTAGTAGCCATGTTGTTGAGAAATGTCTTGTGTTATGTAATGATGAAGCTCGGTCAAAGATCATCCATGAATTGCTCACTGCAACTTATTTTGAGCGGTTGCTTCATGATCCACATGCAAATTATGTTGTTCAAACAGCTCTCCGGGTTTCTGAGGTACTCTGTTGATGGTCTATTAATCTTGAGCAAACTTTCTTTTTCAGAATATACTATATTTCAAGTTTCTGAAATTAACAGGCTATGAGAACATTTTTGCTTAGATGACCATATAATATATCAACTGAACACTTCTCAAAACCAACAATTTAAATTTTAGGAACTTGTTTTCGTCACTTGTAATGCCCTCGTAATTTGAAAATTAAGCATGTTATCCTTCACCCACTAATCTATTGTTGAAAGTTTGATCTCCTGATGGGAAGCTTTCTTTATTTCTTCTGCAATCAGGGTCCTCTTCATAGTTCTTTGGTTGACGCTATCGAGTCTCACAAGGCAATTTCAGGTCACAGTCCCTATTCCAAGAGGATTTTCTCTCACAAGCTTTTAAAGGAGTGATGTATAGTCTTCCTTCTGCTAAGAAATTATGTTGTTGTTTGTCGTTATTGCTACCTAGCACCATATGTTGAAGCTGGTTCTTCGTCTTTTCACAAATGCCAGTGCATGGATCATTTGTCAATTTTGCTTCCCTCCAGAGTGTAAAGGATAGGCAACTGTGCTTTTAGTTGATTGAAATAGACTTTAAATTTATAACTTTTCTGTCAATGTAATGAATCTTCTGGATAGTTCTTGTGGGATTTTCACTGTGTGGATGTATGTGATGTTCTTTTGCGGTCTGTGTCGATGCAATTTGAATGCTTGTCTAATATTAGTGGCCTTTTTGGCAATTGGACGTGATAGGGACGCATCATTTTTTAGGTTTGCCTTTTCTTTCTTTTTAAGATACAATGATTAAAAATCTTACTACTTAAAATTTTTATCGCGAAAACTCGCTTTAAGGATCTTCAAATCAGTGTTTTTCGGGGCAGTCTAACGTACCTTTCTCTACCAAACAACCAAACCAACCGGCTCCAAATCACAACCAATATATTCACCTCGATTGCTATTCAATTTTACCAACAAAGGAGAAGAAACGATGATGATTTATAGCCACAAAGGTAAGGAGAAAACACCACAAAGGTAGGTTATGAAGGAACACAAATTACAGAAAGTAATCAACCGGTTTTGGACCCCGAAAAGGGGCCTTTTTCGCACTTCAAAGGGGCAGTCGAGTTCTCCACTTTTTTATACACAAAGCACACTAGAAAATAGTTAGGGTTGTAATCTTATATATAGTTTAGGGTTAAGCTTTTAATTGGACCAAAAAGAAAAGTAAGCAAGTCAAGATTCAAGTCATTCAAGAGAAAATACAATTAAATAAGGTGGAGCTCGTAGACTTGGTTGTTAGACATATTTCATTCATCAGCCTAGGTCTATGAAATACATTATCCCACGTTAACATCGTAATTCGAGATTTATTGGATATAAAAAATCCAACATATATCCACCTTAATGTCCAATAAATCTGCAAGCAATTAAAAACATATAGTTAGTATTTGCATAATCAAGATAGCCAATAAAATTGGATCACAAACTTTATCTCGTGTTTTCAACTTGAAACACATACCATACCTGCTTCATGCACCAGGGCTAAGGTCAAGAATACCCAAATAGAAGCAGATATTCATAGTAAACAATCAATAGCAAATAAACATACGATGATGACATATTATAGGATAATACACATAGATCTTTTCAAAAACACGTTCACAAAGAGCCACATATCAACACCATGTTAATAAATCACACGGTCAAATACATACGTAACAGATGCATAAATGCGCCACGAAAAGATCTCACCACACTTATTCTATCCCATTCCATATTGTTCACACCTCGAGAGCACATATCTCCTCTCATCACACACACATGCTCACTAGATTGATTACTCAAACCTATGTCTAACTGATAAACCACAATAGATTCTAAGTTCTCGAGATAATCCTTTATCACCACATCACTTCTCCGAACCTACATGGATAATGACTCTTCACCTAACAGTTTTGATAGAAGTGCCTCTTTCACACTCAACCTGATCAGGGTCTATTCACAGATAAAAGATTTTAGACATTGAATCATATCTCCACTTGTAATTCAAATGTCACACTCCACACCTCCAAAGCACAATGTACCGCTAGCCAATCTATACTTCACCTCACTTAAAAACATCCAACACACTGTCAATGCATCTTAACCCACTATGCATGCAAACAATCACACAAAATAATCATATTGTCTCAAATTCATGCAAATGCACATATCAAACACATTGAAATGCAACATTTAATCATGCAACAAAATTAGACGATCACGCACATACAGAAAGGATCACACACAGATGCACATACAGTAACTAGATTTACTCTCAGTAAACCTCACTAGGATCATCACTTAACCTTAAAGTAAAATTTGCCTCACATCTCATCTTACTCTTCAGCTTATCCTTCTCATTGGGACAGTTCTCAAAAAAGTGCCCAGACTCATCATGGCTGTAACACTGTCTACCATTAGACTTGTCCCATCTCTTGCCCTTCTTCTTACGACCCTCATCACTTGAATTACTACTGTATTGAGCTCTGTCCAAATTCATTTGCTTAAACTTTATCATACTCCTTATCATATGTATCTCACCACTTCTCTTATCATTTTTTCGGCCATCATCTCCATCTTATTAATCCTAAATGAGTCTGACAATCTCGGGTAGGTGTCCCCATCATACTTAATTGCATTCTTAACTTCTCTATATGAATCAGGCATGGAGTTAAGCAAAATAATGGCTTTATATGCTTTAGAGACATTTTCATCACAATTAACAATGTCTTGAACTAATTTGTTAAAGACATCCAGATTGTCGTCAAGATCCTTTGAATAATCCATTTTAAAGTAGAAAAATCGTTCAAATAAATACAACTTATTAGGAGTGGACTTAAACAAATATAAGTCCTCCAACTTTTCTCAAAATTCTTTTATAGAATCAAGTTTTCCTACTTTTTTAAAAACAGTATCAGATTGGTGTAAAATAATTGAAGTGTAAGCAAATTCATCAAACTCTTCTTTTTGTGCTTTTGTCAAGTTTGCAGGAAATTTGTCATTTATGGCTTTTGAAATTTTTTGTTAAACCAAAATCTCCTTCATCTTTTGTTGCCAAATTGAAAAATCCTATTTCCCGTTGAAAATACCAACTTCAAAATGTGAAGATATTTTTAAGAGAATATAACAACCAAATGTACAGATAGGTCAAACAAAGTAATCTTAAGGCCGCAACATATACCGTTCTAAATTCTCAAGGTTTTGTAAGATTCACAATCTTAGATCAAGGAAATGTTCAAACGGATCAAGTCCAAGCGTTCTAACATGATAATAAATGCAACACGAAGGTATGTAAACAAAAGTTCGAATTCTCACGCAATATAGTCTCACACAGTGACCACGTGATGGTTAAAGCAAAAATCAATTACTAACTTGCAATCAAAATTCAATACTTCAAATATGACAATTAACTCCTAAATTTCTAGTACAAGCTATGTTACTCCTTCAAGGTAACCACAAATCTAGTGTCACCATACATGATGACGTGCTAATGCTGAAATTTAAATTGGGATAAACCGATATATCATAGCGGACCAATCTGAGTCCGTAAATTATGAGAAGTGCGAATTTATCACTTTAGGACTACCATTATTTGTCCTAAAGTCTCTAGAAATTGTAACAACCAACCAACCACGATTGATTCCCGAACCTTCGAAGAACAACTCTGTCCAGATTCTACTGCGCAACCTGAAATAGAAAACTAACAACACCAAAATGTGAGAAATATCATTAGGAACAAACTGCCTGTCGAGACCGTTGTTAGAAAATGCGTCACGCGCCATGCCCAGCCAATGTCTCTGTGCGTGGGCCTCATGTGCCTCCGTCACATGCCGCTGGATTGCTAACAGTATGGATAATGATTGTGGTTTCTTCCTTCAAACAATAGATTAACTCAAGCATAATCGAGTTAACAAATTTAATAGAAGTTCATAACATTTCTTTAAGGAAAAGAGAATAAGAGAGAATGGATTTAGAAATTTCATGTTAAAAAGTGCGTTTTGAAGTGGATTCGCCAAACTTGATCTATATAATGTCGTTGTGGATGACTTTGCATGAATAATACTGGAAATGACATTTGACAAATGCAACTCTGCAAAGAAGTCGAATTTGTGGACTAACTATAACAAGCCCATTCGTTTAATCAAATATTTCACCTTATATATACACTCTCGTTTGTCCTCCATTCTCTTTCAATTTTTTTCTAAATTATTTTCAATTACACAATCTTCCATAAAATAATATTGAACATAAATCGAAAACTTTTCATTCTTTTTCAACCAAACATTCTTCAAAAAACACTATTCCAAACATTAAAATTTGGGAAAAAAATTTGGGGGTCAAACGGGAGCATATATGTCTTTCTATCTCTTTTCCTCGACGTGATCACTTCGAAGTGTAGCCCGTTGGTAATTGCCCAAGGCAACAAAGGGAGAGATATGGACATGATCATTTCGGATTAAGTCTATGCTGATTTGGACTCATCGATATACAAATTATTTAGGAGTCTATTTTCAGGGCTGAGCAGCAAGGTTGACCCTTATTTATGGGTCAAATCAATCTTGCTAATAAGAGGAAAGAGGCAAGTCAAGACTTTCTCCAAATAGGTTTTCATTATGAATAATTTTTTAACGAGCAGTGTTCAACCCCAATTTATGAGACGGGGTGATCATAAAATCAACACAATCGATCTCAGTTACGGAGTATGCATTCCACTATATGACTGTTGTTAAACACCGCTTTTGCTATGTAACATTACTCTTTCTTTAGCCGTTGTACCTTGACATGCTTCTCTTCCTAAATTGACTTGAGGTTATTCCAAGTCTTCGGCAAGTTGAGATGTTGTCCAATTTTACTGTCTACATGACTTTCCATCCTAAGAATTATTGAAATGTCATCAATAATTAATATACCATTTCAAATTTACCTTTATTAACTTCATTACTAACCAATCAAATTGATAAAATGTCAATATTTTATTGGATGGATAGCCATTTGGAAAGCAAAATTGGATGGCAGATCTCGTCTCATATTTGGCCATACTTACTAGTGAGTTTGGGACCTTGGATTTGTCATTCTTCAATATGTAAAACTTCTTTATATAGTGGATATCGAATTGGTTATATTAAATTACCTTCATGGTTAATTCAAACCACGAGAAAAACCTCGTGTTCTATTTTTCTTGTAATTTTAGATCTTAATTGTACTAGGTCGCTTTCGTGTAAAAGCACAACAAAGTGCATAAACACAGTAATATCTTGAAAAACAATTTCTCATAGTAATCAAATAACAATGGTTCGAATGCTCACAGAATAGTATGCATTTCAGCATTTCCATGTACCTTCTTAGCCAAAATCATGTGTTCCGTGATTGCATATCTATTACAGATCAAACACTTGTCTGGAAGCCATTTTCGGCAGATTTTTAGCAGAATTTTGCCCGCTAACCATAAATAGGCAGCCGCATTTATTGACCAAAAATTACCTTTATACCCTTTTGACATTTATTCATTGTATTTGGGAGATGGGCATTTCAGGAAATTTGCTTGATGTTGAGTCCTCGGTTGCATAGGGAACCCACATACTGGTCCCACGGTCCAAATTATTCTTAAAATCCAATAAGAATCGTGCCCGGACAAGGGCTAAATAAAGAAACTGAAAAAAGAAAAGCTCGTGCTTCAACTTCAGGTACAGCGGATGGTTCGTAAATATTCTTGATAGAACGTGGTTGGTTTGCGATAGGAAACCTCTGGGGAGTCTGTATCCTAATATGCAACCAAAAGTTCCCAGTTTAGGATAAGAAAACATCACCACCACCCTCATTATTTTCTTCATCGACATGCCTTTTCAGGGTTTAGTCATTTCAAATTCGGCATCTGAAGACCAAAAACTCATTCACCAATCCCTCGTTGCCACGTTAGAAATTAAACAGTATAATTAGTGCACAATTATCCTTAAGTACTTATAATCTTTATACCGTATCAGAGTAAAAGTGTCTCAAGTATGCAGAATGAAGACTAGATTTAATGTATCTAAACTTGTTTTCTAATGCATGCATGTGGGGTTACGTTTCAAGATTTTTTGTTTGCATGTGATTATTAAGTATAATTCAAAGATCATTACCATAAGTTCTCGCCCCCCCAAACATTCTTATCAGTTTCTCTGATAAACACACGTTGTCAACATTTTCAGCTGGATACTGTAAGATTTACTGTTGAAGTTCATGTGCTAAACTTTGTTGAATTTGTGTGTATATATGTATATGTATGGCTCGAACTCTTTTGAAAAAGTAACTGCTCATACTTTGTCTAAATTTGAAGTTTTAAGAAAGTATGGGCAATTGCACAGTACAGGCAAGGGAAGCAGAAAACAAAAGAACTCCAAAGGGGTACTTTGTGGTTTATGTTGGCGAAGAAGTACAGAGATTTGTGATTTCCATGTCGTATTTGAAGAATCCTAAGTTCCAAAAACTGCTTCAAGAGGCTGCAGAGGTTTATGGATATCATAACCAGAAATGCATCGCATTACCGTGTGACTTGACAACTTTTCGCCGAGTCGTAAACTTCAAAGGAAAGTGATTCCTAGATGCTGATCAACGATCAAAGTTAAGAAAATAGAAAATTTTCAATTTAATTTGTAATTTTTATTTACTTTGTAATTTCAATGGTGAAGGCTTGCAACACAAGTGCATAATAACTCGAAATTTACTCATCACATTTCATACAGTACTTGTTACGAGGGACTTGAGTTTGAAAAAAAGGGGAAATAAATGACAAGTCATTAATAAATACAGACATTGTAATTAAAAAAAAATAGAGGTCGTTTCTAAGTTATTATTGAAATAGACATGCTTCAAGTACAGTTGCTTTCACAGCAACTATGACAATCCTCTCACATTAGGGGGTGTGGCTGACGATTAAAATAATCGCGAGCTCCACTTTTTGTGAGATGACTGTATAAGTGTACAACACTTTTCTCTTATTGATATGAATAAGGTGGAGGTGTGACTAAACTTAAAAGTAGGTCAAAACTATTTTTAATTATTAATTTGGACTAAGTACTCGTACCTCTACAACAAGGAAAAGGTTTTATTGCCCCCGTTTGTTTCCCATTATTTGTCATTAAAATGAAAAATATGATCGTTATCCATCACATCAAGTCACCATATTTGACTTTCTATCTCTTGTGTGAGTCTCGTAACGACTATATTTTTCATTCTCATTCTTACATTAATGTATACCAAACGGGGCCATTGCCAATCCTACTTGTAATTTTTGAAGCTTAGTCAAGCATGTACTAATTAACTGCATGCTTGTTTGTTAGATGTAAATTTTTAGTAAATATAAAGTTGATAAAAATAGATGAATCTCAAGAAACTTCTGGTTAAAACGTGAATAAAATTAATCGATGGAATGAAATGTGCGAATAAAAAAGAAGTTTGGCACATTCAGGCCTTGTTTAGGAGCGATTTTGAGAATTGATTTTTTGATCGTTAGGAGAAAAGTGAGGATTACCTGTGAGAGAAGAAGTTAAACTTTACAGCTGGAATAGTGAAATAACGATAAAAAGATCAATTTTTTGAAGTGAAAAATCACTCCCAAATGACCCTCAATCAAACTTTTAAGTTTTAGCAAAAAATAATTATATCAAATAGACTATACGTTTACAGACAAGAACAAGATTGATCGACAAGTTATTGATCTGGCAAAATAGCATAATATTGACTAGTACTAGATTTGTGCCTAATGCCCATTACTCTTTTTATAAGATAAGATCATTTATGTTGCTTTCGAAGTTGGATTTTTTGTTCATTGTTTTAGTGGATGAATAAAGGGTTTGTTTGGTAGTTATTATGTGAATTGATTTTTTGACTGTTAAAGAGAAATGTGAATCCCATCTATAAGAGAGAAGTAAAAAATGATGGCTGGTTTAGGAAAGTAACGATCAAAAAATGATTTTTTGGGATGGAAAATCAGAACCAAATATGCACAAAGTATTTCTTTCGGTAACGTGTTATATAAAAATTATCATATGACGAATGAAGTATATTTATTATTTGACAATCACATATTAACACATGACTGTAATTTCATTAAAATATTTTTGGGACCATGCCAAGAATCACATATTTAATTGTGCTTAAAAGCAACGTAAATTTTAGTTTTTTAGAAGCATCTATGATTCAATTTATTCTCCAATTTCGTAAGATAATCGTTTAATTTCTTTGATATACCTTAAAGCAAAAGTCCTTTTTAATACAACAAACAACAAATTATAATTCAAAGATGAGTTTTGTTGGGGTGCCAAGGTATCGACCACTCATAACATGGGATGAGTGAGTAATTTTTTATACATGAGTAGTCGATAAATCAATTTAATCCTTTAAAGATACATAATCAACAAAGGACAAAACCTATCTGATATGTCTACTCACATAAATGTACAAATTTGATTGATCAATGAAGCTGCATATAATGTGACAACTTGTATTTCTTGACGTGATTCTCGTCATGAGTTTTTAAGTAGAGTGCACCTCTCAGCCAGCTTCTGCAATTCATGGATGATGCGTGTGTCCATGAAGTCAGAAAAGAGGCAGAGAAGAATACTAAAATGCATACACGTGCAAAAATTACTATCGACTTCAATCTAGTTTCAATTATATTGCATGTACAATCGGAGTTGATAACTTCGATTGGAAGGGGATCCACGATGAATAAAAAATCTTGGATCCCCTCATGTAGGTACGTTGTCAATCAGGATTGTCAACACTGATTGTACAACTAGAATAATTCATCCAGTTTAGCATCGAGTAGGAGATCCTATTGAATTCCATCAAGAACGTTAAAAAAAATAATTATAATAAACAATGTTTTAATGTTTGGAAGGAGGTAACTTTTGAAAAGTAATTTTCTTCCAAAAAAATTGAAAAGTCATTATAACACCCTAAATTCCAACAAGTAGCATAAGTGTCGCTATCAAAAAATAAACAAACCAAATTTCCACAATTATTAACCATTGCTGTCACCACCAAGCAAAACTAACCCATCAGCAAAATCGGGTTACGCAACCCACTAAAAGCCCAACTAAATGTCCGTAGCCCAATTTTCTGACGGCCCTTTTTTTTTTTTTTTCCAGAACACGTGTCCATCTGTCAAAGCCCGAAGAAAACGTGGACCAATAGAATTGAGTAAACAGATAGTATCTCGACCCGCCATCTCGTCCACGAATTTGATGCCCACCATTCTTGGCCGCCTGTCTTTTGATTTTGTATACACGTGGCAACACATCCGTGGCTCTTCTTTTTTTTTACAGTAAATGAATAAAATATTCCCAAAAAAAGTATTATCTTCCAGCAACTCGAAGCAAAAGGTTTCTCTCTCTGTCTCGTTCTCTCTAGAACATCCGAGATTTGTCTCCCCGAAGCCTCTGATTTAGGGTTTTTTGGTTGCTTTGTGAAGTGAACTCATCGTTTCCAGTTAACTGTTACGACTTTTCAGCTTTTTCTTATTTTCTGGTGAGTTTTTCGTCAAGGTTTTGTTGTACAGTATTGTTCTTCAAATGTGTTTTTTTTCCTTCCCGTTTGTTGTGTAGATTGATTGATTCATTTTCTGGATCAAGATTTGTTCGATTGTTGATAAACTGAAGAAAAGGAAACGATTAAATCCTGGAGATGAATTTTGTTAGTTGTATAATTAGATTTGCTTTTTCTGCGTTTAATTATACTTTGGGTCAGTTTTGTGGAACCTTTTCTACTATTATTAACTTTCCTGTGGAAAAGTTTTAGTTTTTTGGTATATTTTATCAAAAAATTTAGGTCGTAAACACTCTTTTTCAAGATTTAAAATTTGAAAGCCTGAGCTTGATTTAGTCTTTTGGTATAGTTGAGTTTTCCTCTATAATTGTTTTTTGTTTGTGTGTGTTTTTTCTTAGATATCCTTTGCTCTAACAAAAAATTTAGGTCGTAAACACTCTTTTTCAAGATTTAAAATTTGAAAGCCTGAGCTTGATTTAGTCTTTTGGTATAGTTGAGTTTTCCTCTATAATTGTTTTTTGTTTGTGTGTGTTTTTTCTTAGATATCCTTTGCTCTAAGAAGTTTGGTGTGATTGTTGTTTTTGTTGAATTGGCAAATGGAGGTGAATGAAAGATTCGATCCTAAACATGAAGAGAATAGCTTGCAGTTTGAGTGCAGGCTGAAGACTTGAAGGAATGTCAGACTTGTGCATGTACCAGGTGAGTTTTTTTTGGGATTACTTTCTTCTTTTATCTTTTTGATATCGCTCTGTTAAAATAAGACACCCCCCGCCCCAAAAAAAAAAAAAAAAAAAAAACCTCAAAAATTGTTCGGTGCATATTTGTATTTCAATAACAACAAATATAGATGAAAAAATAGCTGCATTGAGCATAAAAGAAGTATTATTGATACAACTAATAATATATGTGGTTCTATCTATTGCTTAGTTTGAGAGGGCTCATCCATTTGATTTTCTAGGAAGGATCGGTAGATTGCCATAAATATACCCTTTGCTCTGTTTCTTCTGTTGGAATAGGAGCAGGAGCTTGTAGTTTGTCTCCTTTTGTAATGCACATGTGATAGTCTTGGAGAATGTGCTAAATGGCAGAAAATGAATGTGAAATGTATATTGAAAGCATTTATGGCGCATATGATTCATGTTGGTTGCAGAATCTTATTCTCGAAACAAATATGCCACACGCTTGACTATTAGATGAGAATAAAGTGAACAATGACAGTGGATGCATAAAATTAATTAGATGTATTGCCTTATCCAAAAAAGAGTGTCTATTGTGCTACTATTTTGGTTAACTGTGTTCAAGGCAGTTATAGAGGGCGTTTGGTGGGGATTAAAATTAAATTTTTAGTAGATTGTGGTAAAAGTTTTTGAAATGTGTGGTTGACCCATAAAAGATGTGGTTAATATTGATTGTTAGACTTTGACTTAGACTAAAATAAGATTTTAATTCGTACCAAATGGGCTCATAGTTAAGAAATTATTTTATGTTGGGGGTTTCATATTGATCTTAGGATCAAATATTGAGCATTGATTGCGTCCATGTATTATTTACGTTATACTTTCATATTTCAATGCACCCACACTTAGTCTTTAAGGTGCAAGGCTGTCATAAGGGAGGATAGGAGGGACATTGAAAGGTAGTCTGAATGTTGCATGAATATGAAATAAAAGGCTACAGACAAAAAATTGTTCACATTGAATGTGGTAACCCCTCTAACATGACTTGACTATGATAAATATAGTGTAGAGTAGTTGTTCAGCCATGTGGTTGAAGTGAATAAAACTAATAGATAATATCATCAACTTATTTTGTTTTGCTACAGGCGGCTTTGAAAACATTTGCAAGGACAAAATTTTCTTTAAGCTAGTGCATCTGTTTGCAGAAACTTTCTTCCTGGATGGACACTAGGATACATATTGGACCCTCTTTCGAATGATCTTCCTTTTTTTTCTTTTTTTTTCCCTTCTGTTTTTGAGGGTGTAATTTGGACGAGATGTTTTGGGAACACATTGACAAGTTAGGACATTCTGAGGCTACATTATGAACATACAGTAGACATGCTTAAGAACACTTTGGAATCATAACATAAATATGAAAACTGAGAACTGTATTTTTCTTAGCAATCCAATTCAAACAATGAACCTATGCTAAGTTTTTCTTAATGGCTATTATTTTATCCAGGTTTAGCTTCTGCTCGAAGTTTTTCAATATAATTAGTAATGTCTCCTTGTCAAGAAACAATGATGGTTAGCAGTTTAGTTAGATATTTTGAGCACAACATGTACTCAGTTTTTAAAATTAGAAACTCTACTTGTAAAAAAATTGATTTAGTAGATGGCAACTATTGATACCCTTCTCAATGTGTTGTAATTATAAAGCATTTCGTTTGCCTGGACAGTAAACCAAGGCTATTTCTTACTTTTACAAAACTGATTCCAAAAATTCAGGTTCATCAGGCCTGAGCAAGCATTCCTGCATTTTTATGAAACCTGAAGGCCCTTTTCATAAGTATGCGTTTTCAATTCTTTTTCGCAAATGCTTTTTGCACCCTACTTAGACTTGGTCTACTAAACTTTCATGTTTTTCTTGTGAACACATCATCATCAACTATGCGTTTTAGTGCAAAAATTCATGTTCCTTAAGGTACTTGAAATAGAACAATTGATGAATATTGCTTTTCTAAATACTATATTTTTATGTAGTCTGCTTAAAACAATTGGATGATCTTACCTTTAAACTTAGCTGTTTATAATAGTATTTATGCCTGAGAAAATGTGATGCAGCGGCAGATTATTTATCTTCTCTGGAAAAATGCTATATACCTGCTATTTTCTCCATTTTTACTGTTGCTTTCTGTCCTGTATTTTGGTAAGGCACCTTTTCCTAGTAAGTCCGTTACTGCCTCTGTAGTCTTGCGAAGAAACTTGAATTTTAATAACTTGGCCTACTCATTTATGATACAGAGAAAAAGGCAAACCATAAATATCCTGTAATATGAAATGCGGTATAAATAGAGTGCAAGAGATGCTCCAAGTTCCATTATCATCATGCTGGGTAGAAAATATTCTACATATCTTAGTTATAAAAGGATCATACAAATTACATGTACATGTTTGATTTCAATTCTTCTGTTTCAGGTTTGAGTTTCTTGTCGTACCTTTCAAAAAAAAAATTTTTTTTTTTTTTTTCCTGTTCTTGCTCAAATGAATATTTCTCCACAATTACGTTTTTCATTTTTTCTTTAAAAAAAAAAAAAAAAAAAAAAAAAAAAAAGAGGTTTCTTGGGATTATAGTGATGATTTCACTTTTTTTCTATTATTATTTTATATCTTTACTTAGTGCATAATTGTACTCTGGAACTGTATTAGTGGTTGATGTCTAGTTTCCAATTCACTGATGTTATAATCAAATATTATTGATTTATTTTAATGAAGTATTCTCTGCAGTTAGCAGCTAAAATTCTGTAACTGCTGTAACAGTTCGAAGATATAGTTTGGGATGAATATTTCCAGAGTGATGATCATATAGTGCCCCATCCTGGTGACAATCAGGCCAAAAAAATTTCCTTTCAGGGTGATAGCCGCAAGAAACCTCGCTGTGAAGGAACTGCTATTTCAAGAAGTTATGGAGATAAATCGGCTGCTAAACATGTAGGTCAGGAGAAAGATCAAGAAGAACTTTCAACTTCGATTAGCAGGAGGAGCACTATGTTAGAGAAGGGTTCATGGTCTCGGACACCACATGGAGCATTCCTTTCTCCAACTGTTCGTGACACAATCAAAGAAGCTTCAAGTTTAGCATCTGATAATACCAGAATATCAAGTTATGGCTTCAACGGTAATAATATAGATTCCAATGGTAGTGAAGTTTGTGCAAATGATCCCATTCTCAATGACAAATGCACTGCAGTTGACAGCAACTCCTTTAGTTATCCGCTCGGTGGCATTTCTCAAACAGATGATGATCTCAATTTCTTTGACAAAAATCCTGAAGATGAAAATTCTAGCGATCTCTTACGTTATGATTGGACTGAAATAGGAAATTTTGAGGATATTGACAGGATGTTTAGGTAATTAGTGGTCTCCTATTCAGATTAAATATTACATCATTCTCATTGCATAACTTGTTTCTCATGATTACATCTCGTTCTCCAGGAGTTGTGATTCAACATTTGGACTTGGATTGGATAAAGAAGATGAATTAGGTTGGTTTTCATCAGATGGTGCTACAGGAGGATCTGGAGATATGCTGGAGTCAGATTTTAAGTTTTCCTGTCCCGAGTCAAAAGCAATGGAAAATATTTTAGAAATGGTAGATGGAAGCTCTTCTACTAATAATACTACATCCATTTGTGATGAATCTGTTTCTCATATGCCCTTTTTGAATGGATCCACTAGATCTAACAGAAAAGATGAGATAGAACAGGTCAGTGAGTGCTACTAGAATTTGACTCCGTGCTTCTTTTCTTTTTAGATATATAGCTTTTTTCTGGAACCATAATTCACCAGTGCAAGGCAAACTTTTGTTTTTTCACTTTTGCAGGAAATAGGACAAAATGGTGAAATTCAACACAAGATTTCAACTAATAACTGCTACAAAACTGGCAGCAACGGAACGGTATGCACAAAACTCGATGAATTAGTCTTTTTAGGGCAAATTATTTTCCTTCGATGTTCTTACTTACGATATGTGACTATAAAATAGGTACAGAAAAATTCATCATTTTCTGGTCAAAGGAATATTTTTACCCAATTGGAATTTAGATAACGGGGCCAATTATGTTTCTTCAATGTTCTTACGATATGTGACTATAAAATAGGAATAGAAAAATTCGTCATTTTCTGGTGGAAGGAATTGTTTTACCCAAGTAGAATTTAGGAACGGTTTGGCTGAGTATATTGAATCTTTATTAGTCTCCAAAATTTCTATATGTGGTACTGTTGGAAGATAGTCTAATGAACACTGACAATAAAATAAGTTGAATGCATTATACTTCGCAGGTCAATGAGCATAAAAGGCAGTCAAAGCAACAAAACCAGTCTCAGAGGAAAAGAAGAGAACAGTACCCTGGAAATGGTTGTTTTAATTATGTTAGCAATCTGCCAAGTGAAGTTGGGCATCTTCCTTTGGGGTCTACATCTCATGAAGCTTTCCAATCTATGGCTATTCAACATCCACAGAAGGCTCTGGTTCCTGAATCCCGTGATTACCTACGGAATGCTTTTCCTCATGTGCATTCAAATAGCAGTAGTTTATCAGATAAAACTTCGGTTCATACAAACGACTTGGCATTCCATTCACCGAGGGAGCCATCCTATGCATCTAGTCAAGTGCAATTTGTGGAGAATTCTGGTGATCCTTCGTTTCAGGTGGCTACTATGGTGGGCAGTGAAAAAAGAGAGAAGCTAGATAATCATCAAGGTAGCCAGTCCTCCATACTTGATCCTGTTTCAATAGAAAAGAAAGATCACTGCTCTGGAGGTAAATTTGAAAATTACAGTGATGTTGATGGAGCCAGCATGGTGATTCCAGCAGAACTATGCTCATCAGATATGCAAGAGAATTCATCCATGAATTCATCTTTGGATGATATTTCAATTGAAGCAGCTAGTTTCCAACAGCTTCAGCTTGTCATGGAACAGGTAAGACGTCCTTTCCAAAAAAATTATCATTTGCTTTGTCACTAAAAAGTAATTTTTTTGATGATGTCACCTGCTCCCAGGAGGTTTGATCTATTCATATACATTTCACTGTGAGCTATCATTGGTGGAGAGAAGTTTTATAATTGTGAAGCACTTAGAAATGAATGAACCAATAATTGGTAGTGAGATTCTGACATAATTTAAGTTTCTGCTTTAATATTTAGTATTGTGATCTGAAGGTTTGATTTTTAGAATGTTATGATTCTGCGGAGTGCCTTTAATTATATCCTTTCCTATATTGACGCTAGATACGTGTGTGTGTGGTGCTAAGATCCTAGACAATACGCTGTACTAAAAGTCTGATCATGCGTATCTGCTAAGCATATGTTTAGCAAATTTAGTCAAAATATGAACAATTTTCGTAGAGCATGCCCTCAAACAGAGGTTGGACTTTCTGCAAATAAAGAAATTGAACATGCCCTGAATGTACACCTTGTCCTCGATTTTTGTGTTCACGCATAGTGGGTCACTTAAACGTAGCAAGGAATAAATGAATAGAATTTTATAATATTCTAACATCTTACATGTCCTGAATCAATTATACAGTGTTCGCAGTATGTTTCATATTCAACTTCAAACTGATAATGGTTAATATCTTCTTGGTTTAGTTGGACATGAGGACGAAATTATGCATACGGGATGGTTTATATCGTTTGGCTAGGAATGCTGAACAAAGACATAACCATCCAAACCCAAATGGTGGCTGCAAAGATGAGGGAGATGCCAGTGGAGCATTCATGGCAGCAAGATCAAACAAGTATGGTTTATCTTGATTTCTGAATCACAGAGTCACGTCTGTAATAGTTTTACACACTGCACAAGTTCTAGTCGAAACATGTAACTGATTTTCTCTTAGGGATTTTTTTGATATAGTGACGTCTTCTGATATCTTCTGATGATTTGTCATCAGGTTCACTGGATATATGGATATGGAAACTGACACAAATCCTGTAGATCGCTCTATTGCCCACTTATTGTTTCACAGGTCCTCAGACTCTGCTTCTACGCCTGTCAACGACTCGTCTGCTTTCAGGTCACCTAGCATGGTATATTTTCAATGCATGTCATCTTCTCATATGATTATTTCCCAGCAGTTTCCTAAAGACGTCTTATGGTGTGTTTGGTAATAATGAGGATTGAACTGCAGTAAATGGTAAAAGGGAAGAAAATGAAGCTAAAATGTCGTGTGTTATATGCAAATTACTGTGATGTAATGTGTTCCAAACGTGCATATATTGGCTTCTAAAATGATGTATTCTGTTCTGAACAGGTTCATGGACCTTCCACTAGTATGCCCATAATGGATGAGAAATCGATCAACAATGAAGCAACTGCTGCTGATACAATGAAAATTGTTACTTGATTGCGGACATTAAGAATCGAGTAGTGTCTAGCTTGGGCAAAGTTCATTCTCTGTACCATCGTGAACACAAACGCATACCAGTTGCCTCGAGTTTAGATGCCAAATTTGTTTCATATTTATGATGATGTAAATTTGAGTTTTTGGTTTATGACCTACCTCGTGGTGCTCAACCTTGTATGGCTTTTTCATGATATGCAGTTTTTGACTTTTCACATTTTACTGCAGTTCAAACCCTTGGTGGATGTTTATTTTGGTATATGTTTATCAAAATAATCATGCTGTTTGTACATTCTTTTTGACATTGTTCTATGGGACAACATATGATTTGACAGTTTTTAAAAAAGCACACTTTTTGCGTTGTGTTACAATGATAAGGTTTCAATCCAAATTTTAAATCCAAACAACAAGTGTCATGCAGTGATTGGAGAGTTGGAAGAAAAAAAGAAAAACAAGGCAGCAGGTGCTGTCATGTAGGGTCTGGACGAATCCCGGTTTTTAACCGTGTCCGAGCAGCTTTTTCCTTTTGACCAACACACTTTGAATTTCAATGGATGTACACTGAACATTACTCTTATTACCTCTTGATTTTAAAAATTACTGTTTAATGTGCAGTAATAATTATAATCAGACATTGAGCCCGTGTTTGAGACCTATTTTTTTTTTGGAAGAATGAATTTTTAAATAGTGTATTGATGAAAAATGTGTGGTTAAAAAATAAGAAAAAATTTTGAATTTGCGTATAATATTATTTTATTAAAAATGTGTGGTTGAAATAATGTAAAAACACTGTTAAAAAATGTATTTTTTCAAAAGAATGGGACTCAAACAAGGACTGAATATATGCTTCAAATAAAACTAGAACGTCCCTAAATAAATTCATATTTCTAAGCCAAATATGTGTTTAACGTGCAGTAATAATTATAATAAGACATTGAATATATGCTTCAAATAAAACTAGAATGTCACTGAATTAAATCCATATTTCTAAGCCAAAAATAACCTGAGAAAATGAGTGTAGAATTTATCAATTTCTTGCGTCTGATCCTTGGAGAAGAAAAGGGTGTTTAAAAAGTGTGCATAAACTCTGCCATTTTCAAAATTCAGTGGGGAAAAAAAGAGTAAGGTATTAGTTTTGATTTTGGCTAAAGAACAAGAAGTAACCATCCAAATTCAAATTAATAAATATGTTCTGCTCACAGTGAGAAGTCTTATATTGCTTACTTGGAAAGAATAGTACTTACGGCTCTCACATTTCGATAAAATCATAAGTAAGATTCTTCTGCCATATCAGCAAGTAGAAAGTTATATCTTACCCACTATGGACGGGGCAGGAAACAATTCCGTTCAAATTAAGCCCTAAATATTATCCAATTTCTAAACCAAACTCCCACATATATGCTGGTGTTAAAGATGCCATACATAAGTTGGATAAAAAACGAACACGAACAAGCAGCAGCAAATAGTATGAAGGATGATCTCATGTTTCTTGATGAAGCAATTTTACATAATTGTCGTGCCATAGTAGCAGCCCCCTAGATTCCTCTTCTAGTCGAACTGTTGTCGGAGTTGCATTTCTGTCTCACTTTTCCAAGTAGCGTGTGAGGATTGACCCTTCATCCTCTTACTCTTTTCCTTATCCTTAATAGTTGATTCCTTTTTCTTGACAGGCTCTTCTGTGTCTGTGGGAGGGCGATCACCACATACAGGGCAGACTATTCCTCTTGTATGAGAGTATGTTTTCGGTATTCCACACCTCACACACATCCTACAAGCAAAGTATATATAATCACACAGCACATTTTACCCATGTCCTTCGTGGGATGAAGTCTGGGAGGGAAACTAAAGTATTCTCTATCACAAGGGATGCTGCAATACACACCTGAGTAGTTCTGCCGCATCTTCTAAATTTGGGTCGCCAGCAGTTGCCACGCGCTTTACACCTTGTGAATTTCCCACAGAACCATTATTTTGACTCTGGGGAATGTTGCTTCCAGCATCGCTTCTCACTCTCTCGTGGATTCCTACTAAATGAGCTTTAGACTCCACTACAGCCCCTATGTAAGGCCAACAGCAGATTCAAGAAGTATGAAATTGAGAAAAATGCATCGTACTCCATCCAGTACAATGTAGCAGGAGGAAAAATAGAAAGCAAAAACAATGAAAAACATCCATGAAAACCAAACATGCTCTCTTGTTAATCAGAATAGCATCACCCAAAATTTGCCAATACTACAAGACATGCCGCTCTACCTTATCTCATCCACATATTAAAGAAGGCAAGATGCTCCCATACCAAAATCTAATTGACCCAAAAAATAAATGGCTTAATCTGCTGGATTGAGAAATAAATTGTTCCATTCTCTTTCACGAAAAAAAAAAAAATAAAGAAAAGAAAAAAAAGAAAGAAAATAGGCTATCATGACAGGAGCATTTACAAATTTGTTTCATCTGTATTTCTCATTTTCTTACTCCTTAGACATAGGCATGAAAATACAAGACAATATGGAATATATTCTACAAACTGAGCAGTCTCATGAACAAGAGAAAAAAAATTTGGGGAATAATTTCGGTTGTGGATTTGGGCCGAATAGAGCAAAAGATGAGGGAATTAAGGGTCCCCTTCTCTATTGGGTGCCATCCTGTCACTGAAACCAGACCGACTAAATCTCCAGTGAGGAGAATCTGATCCGTAGCATTATTTTAACAACTATTTGGCATGATTTATCCAATGTAGCGATTGGTGAACTTATTTAACTCTGTAACTCTGATATGTCAAAGCTTTGCACCTAACATCTTGGTTGTAAAGTAAAAGATAAATCGAAATGCATCATAGGGCAGAAGCTTGAATATGGTCATGGTTTCTGTTAAATACAACAGAGATAAAGAAAGTATTATCCAATCACATTACATTAGAAGCTCAATACACAACAGTAAAGACACAGATCTGATCAAAAAAATAATTTTCCATTCCATCCTTGGTATACTTCCCAGCTTTCCAAGTTCTTGATCCCAAGTTCAGTTTTAAACCCTTCCCAATCCAACCTCTTTGCCATTCACTCTATTCGACATAATCAATAAATTTATAACCAAATTTTAACGTTCCTCTCCAGTCTTCAATATCTGTCCAAAAGTCACCTAAAAATATCAAAATTTTTCTTCTTTTTTTGGGTTAATGGACTGCCCAAACTTTTTACTTGCTTCCAATTATTAATCCAAAATATTCACAAAAAATTCAATTCCCTCAACGTTCAAATCATTTGCCTAAGCAGTTCTAGACAGAAAGACATTGTTTTCTTATTCTTTTAGGATTTGAGCTACTGATTAATGGAAACACTTGAGTATTCTATTGAAAGATGGACATTAAGTTTTAAGCACGCATAGCCATTAAAAAGGATTAAAAGTTTATACATATTTGAAAACCAAAAGGAAATTACCGGCAGGTAAATCTTTTTTATCTCTACGGTTTCTCCGGACACCATGCCGCCAACGCCGCCCATCGTCCTCCCCTTTCGCCGCTTCTTCCTGGACATGATTGTTCAGAAACCTAGGAGGCCCTACAACCTGCAAAAAGATTTCCCACAAAAAATTAATAAAATTAAGCAAATCCCCACCAAAAGAAAAATAATAAATAACATAACTAGCTCATAATTTCTGGTATTTACTTCAGAGAATGCATCAAAAGCAGATGGGAGGGTAGAAGAGGGGGGTGGATTTGGATCGAACAAGGGTTTGTACGAAGGGTTCTTTAAAACGGCGCAGTTCTCTTCATCGTCCGAGGAGTTTTGATATTGTGGGTCTCCTAGTTCTCCGTTTCCTCCTTCCTCCTCCTCAGCCGAGGAGTAGCTTTGCAGCAGGGACAAGCTCATTTTTCCGATCCAAGATTCAACCTCAGTTCACAGAATTACCTGCTATCGGATAATGTAGAAGAAAGACGAAACTTGAATCATAGCCGTTGGATGCATACAAACCTAAACTTATTTGGCCCCGATTGACGAACTATTATTTAAAATATATATTTTTTTTAGTACTCATTTTTAACCACTTAATAAATTATTTTGCACTTAAATATAAAATTTCTCTATTTTTAAATCACACATTCTTCAAAAAATCACTAATCAAAACTTTTTTTTTTTTTTTCAAATAATGGTTGTGAAGCGTGGACATAGTCCCATTTGATTTAGTTAATAATCAATTTCTTAGTAAATTTGGATAAAAATTAATGAAATGTGTATTTAAAAGTTGTGGTAAAATAAATTGTTGACTAAAACATAATTTTTTATGAATTTTTTTAAACCAAACCAAATAGGGGCTTAAATGAATACGAAACAAATTGTGAAATTTTAAATAACACATCACACTTTCAAGTTTAAAGTATTAACAAATATCGCTATCTCAATTTGTGCCCTTGTTTGAGCCCCATTTTGGGAGAAAATTTTATTTTTGGTATATTGATGGGAAATATGTGATTAAAGAATAAAGAAAAATTTTATGTTTACGTATAATATTATTTTATTGAAGAATGTGTGATTAAAATAATATCAAAATACTGTTTAAAAATGATTTTTTTTTTTTTTAATTTAAGAATGGAGCTCAAACAAAAGTTGTATGAGTCGTCGTGTGGAAAAACAAAGACCTACTTCTATCGTGAATAGTACTGTGACAAAGGGTTGTCAATTTATAACATAACTCACTCATATATTGCTAAATATAAAAGTTACTTTCTACTGAAGAAATAAGTTTCAAGCTTCAAAAAGCAACATATTAAAGTTTCCTCATAAATAAATTTGTTTTAAATCAATAGTATTTTTATTGATAAACTTTAAACATAAACAAACTAATGTTACTTATCCATCAACACTTCAAATTCTGGGTGATTTTTTGAATCTGAAGAGGGATTAAATACATGACAATGAACAAAATTTTCAGTTTTTTGATAAAATAAATAATAAAAAAACCTATGTGAAAGTGTCGAAAAGTAACGCAGTACACTGAAAACTCTGAATCGGGAGTTGCCATCAAATGTATCAATGAATTTAATCTTCTTGCACCCTTGATGTATGGGATGAACACGAACAAAGACGAAACTCAGGAGAAACTATTTGCTGCACGAGCCTCCAACTCTGTTCAACTGATTGAAATATGGCAAAGCTCCAACTTGATGGCCTCAAACTCTGCGCTCTCTCTTTCTTCCTTCGACAACCACGTTGATAAACATTGCTTTATGAACTCTTTGGTGCACTTGAAAGGTGAAATACCCCTTGAAACCTTCGTCCATCCAAATCTCGTGATAAGTTGCAAATTTGAGTCAGAGGGGTCTTTGACATAAGTTTCTAGGATTTCTTTGATGGCATTGCACCATATTGGTCGAGCCAACTTAAGGAACTCGTGCACCACCATCACTGGAAGACTCACACTTCCCACCTCGGACTCGTGCTGACCACTTCGCCCATGGTAATCCGACCCTCCAAGTTTCAAAAGGTTTTGTGCATCAGCTATATCACTGTATACTGATATCGAAAGAAATGGTGAATCAAAATATCGACAGCGGACACTACAGTTTAATCAGAAATCAATTTTTAAACACTCTCGTAAAACAGCTAATCAAGAATACGACCTGTTGCAGCCATATCAGCAGCAGGATGTCATTTGAAAACTATTTCCTTTTTCTTTTTGAAAGGGCAAGAGTGGGAGGATTATAATTCTAGAATCTCTATTTGGAAGTCAATTAGTCCTCAGGTGATGCTGCTACATCTACTATTTACTAATACAGTCTTTCTCTGATTTCTTCAATTTTAGATTCTGTTAAACTTTCTAATTAATCATAAATGCTTTGTGAAATTACGCGAGCAGTAGAAGAATTAGATATACATTATATATACCTTCTAGTTTTCCATCACTTCTGTAAGCCTCTAACCCGTGTAGGCCTGCTTCCTTCAGTCTTCTGATGATGGTGGCAGGATTCTTCAGTGCCCATGGATGTGCCAACACTGCAATACCTCCTGTTTCACGTATCAATTCCAATGCTTCCTCAGACACTGGTTCACTTCCCCTACACCAAAGGACAGGCAAAACTATTACACTGAGCAATTTGAAAACATAAAAACCAACTTACAAAAAAGCCAAGTTGACATTGTAAAAAATATTACATAGAATATGCAGGTCCACCATCATAAAGATATTGGTTAAAAGCCTGTTTTAGATTTTCTACATGGCCAGCTTCAAGCATAGCACGAGCAACATGAAGCCTCCCAGGAGCAACACCCTTTCCTGCAATCTTGATTACATTTTCCCATTTAAGAGGCATTTTGAGCTTGTTCAGTTTTGAGATCATGTTTTTTGCACGGATGAAGCGTCCATCTCTAATATTACATAAAAACTTTTCCAATGCTTCGGCATTTTTTGGCCCGCAGCTGCTGTAATATGCAAGAATGTGAACAGGTTCTTTTGGTCCTGACTCTCCTCTGCGAGTCATTTTACAAAATCGGTACAAAGTAGTACAAGAAATTAATTGCAACATTCTAGATAATCACTAACATCATGGTAAACAGTAAGCAAATGAATAACAGCAAAACAATAACCTTGCAGAGAACATTGTACTAACTTCAACACCGGGAATAATCTTGATGCCAAATTTGCGTGCTGCTTCCAGGGCCTCCGGGATGCCAGACATCGTATCATGATCCGTTAAAGCAAGTACTTTGACCTGTTATGAACACACAAATTAATAGCCCTTCTAGTTATTCGTAAAAATGATGATTCGTAAGAAACGTAGTTGTCCACATAATTAAAATTATAGCTTTCTTGATAGAAACCAAAAGGTGAAAGAAGAACAGACAATGTTGGAGGATAGATTATCTACATGATCATGATACTGCCAGAATATAAAGCATTAAACATAATGGATAGATCTCCAAGAACACATGACAAGCAGAAGCAAAGACCATCTTCTCTCAGGAATTTTTGTCAGACACAAAATGAAAATAAAATTTATCTATCATACGGAAGGTATATTCATTAATTCACTCACAAATGTTCAATCTCTCTCTATTTGTTCATGCCATCATAGAGCTTGCATGTTCCCACAAATTCCTCTACATATTTTTAAAAGTTCATTTTAATAGATGATGTCGAAGTTCCTCCCAGATCTTTCAATATAAGTGAATGAGCTGTCGCCATTAAACATTTTCCTTACTGGTTTCTTTGATTTTTCCTGAAGGTTGCAGGAAGAACACCAAGATGTTATTATTAAACGTGAAAGGAGACCTTAATACTACAGAACCACCTCAATTTCAAACTCCTCCCCACCCCCTCAAAGAGAGAGAAAAAAGGGTAAACCACTTTTTGGAGAGGTGTGCGCACACAAATAAAAAAAACCATGCCACCTAATGAACACCAACAAATACATATTCTTGGAAAATGGGAGCATCGCATTTCAGAAAAGGACCTCTAACATTGCGAGTATATAATATTTCCTTACATGTATCCTAATATACATTAGATCTTCTTTTATTTTCATTCTTTTAGCCTCTCTAGTAGTACCTTTGCAATTAGTTGCCAGTAAGACCAATTGATAGGCCTAAACAGTTATAATCTGTTAACATTTTTCTTCTTGCAATATTTTTCACATTTAGAATTAATGACCAATAAGAGTTGAAAAAGAAAACGAAATCCGACAGAATCTATTGTTGGGACTTGGGATAGAAGAGCTGCAGAGATGACATTCAACATGAACTTTGATGATGAAGTTGAAAAGATGGCATATGGATAGTGAAAAATTGAATTAAATCTTATAACCTTACTTATGTCTCCTTCCCCTTCACAATGAAAACTGAGCCAAAACAAAATAGCCTAAGAAGTGTTACAAACCGACAAAAAGGATCTTTCTTGGTAATTCAGAAATTTTATATCCAATAAGTATTACACATTTGTCGAATTGTCGCCTACATTATTCTGTTCCACACGTGATGACAATTAATAGACAATATCAGAATGCTCTGGTTTGACTAATGACTGAGAGCAGAGAATTTAAACCTTAACTTCAAAGCTAAATTGAGCAAAGGAATCGTTGATTGTCTATACATTGTTGATTTTCGTAGTCAACGGACTCCCAAAGGTTGAAAAGATTATATATAAAAGCACCTAGGATTGTACAAATTTTGCCCTAAAGAAAAGGGCACAGCACTGCAATAAATTAAAGCAACTTAAAAGGGATAAATTCCTCACAATTCAATCACCTACCCAACTTAACCCAGAGAAGAAGCACAAAGGGAACTTAGTCAATTAGAATAGAATTCAATCAGGACGAAATTCAACAAAAATGGGAAAAATATCATATCCTTAACCCTAAATATCATCAAATCCTTCCATAATTCCATTTATAAGTAAAACACCGAGTATGATGAGAGAGAGAGGGAGAGAGAGAGGGGGAGAGCATAATGTATATCAAAACCATTTCAAAGAAAAATCCATCTTCCAACACTATAAACAAATCAAAAAATCTAAAAAAAAAAAATATGAAGAAGAAAGAAAAGCTCACCCCATTTTGATGAGCTCTCTCTACAAGCTTGGAAGGAGACAAGAATCCATCACTGCATGTTGTGTGACAGTGAAATTCAAAGACAAGCTTTTCCTTTGGTTGGTAGCATTGAACCCCAAAATCATCCAAAACTGAATCGAAAACACCCATTGAATTATTGATATTATCATTAGACCTGTCCAAGAAAACCCATTCGCTGACTGATTTGTATGCCACTGTCTGTTCAAGGGTCATTTTCCTCTTGGAACCGCCTCTCTTCTTTTTCTTCTTTTTCTTAGAATTATTATTGCTGTTATTAACAATTGGCTTTTTGGGGCTTTCTTTATCAGCCATCATTGATTTTGAGAGAAAAAGGAAATAAATGAGGCCTCGGCTAAGACGCAGGAAAAAAATGAAGAAGACGAAACAAATGTTAGCTTTTTAACCTGTTGAGGTCAAGCGTTAGGGTCTATGTATAGTGTTGTAGTGTATATATCTAAGCGTTTTGCGTATAAATAATCCTAGAAATTGGAGAGATCTGGGGATTTTCTTTTTCTTCTCCTCAATTTACCATGAAAAAATACAGCATAGATTTCTTTTTCTTCTCCTCAATTGATTGGACTGGTTATGTCAAAATGGATGTTCCGGTTTTAAGGAAAATACTTTAAAAATTGAAGAACATTGTTTGGTAAAAATTAAATTTAGATTTTAATCAAAATTGAAATTAATAAATAATTTTAACTACATATTTTAAGGGATCCATAATTTTTCTACCACACACATGTAATCAACTTTTATCCAAAGTTTCGTGCCAAAAAAATAAATAAATTCAATATTACTTTTTATTACTTATAAGCAAACACTTACAATTGAAGTAAATACTTATTTATTTCTAAGTAGAACTAATGGAATAATTATTTATTTTGAAATTTACTTATTCATAATAAATAAAGTTAATTAAATTAGCCCTCGTTTGACAATCATTAAAATGAGTTTCTTATGAAAAATGAGTTTTGAAATAGTAAATTTTTGAAAAATGTGTGGTCAAAAAGTAGGAAATATTTGAATTTATGTGCAAAGTAATTTGTTGTGAGAATGTATAGTTCAAAATGAGTTTGGGAAAACAAAAAAATTGTTTTGATGATTTTCAAACTGGGTAAGGAAGCTTATCCAAAAAACACACTAATTTTGCATCTATTTTATCCCTTATTTGGTATTGTTAAAAATTAGATAATTAGTTTGATAAAAAGTTGGTTAAAATATAATTAAAAAGTTAATAAAAGATATATATTCTCTAAAAATGTATAATTAGATATAAATTTTTAAAAATAGGGTCGAGGAGAAACTTAGCTCCCATTTGATTACCATTTTTTGATCTCTCTTTATTTTATATACTCATTTTTCAGTTACGTGTAAATTTTTTCCTACTTTTTCCTATAAATCAATATTCAAATATTCTTTTTTTTCTTGAATAATAATTGTCAAACAGGGGTTTAATGGTTTGGTCTGGAAGATTGATGTTCATTTTACATCCATTATTACATTTCTTGTACAAAAGTACCGAAACCTTATAGTCCTTTGGGCATTTACCTTTTGCTCAGTGTTGAATCTTTTCAAAAGCCTGCACCCCCACCACTCCTCCCAGGATCACTCTTTTTCTCAATTATTTCGAGGGGAATTCACAAAAATATCTAACTTTTGCAGTTGAAAACAGAGCGGACCCAAAAAAAAAAATAAAAAAATTAGAGTCTGTTTGAAAGTGATTTTGAGAATTGATTTTTTGACCGTTAGGAGAAAAGTAGTATCCACCCGTGAGAGAAGAAGTCAAATATGATGGTTGAAATAGTGAAATAACGGTCAAAAAATTAATTTTTTGGACAAAAAAATCACTTCCAAACAGGCCGTTAATCTAAAGTTCAGCTTAAGAGACAGATAGAGAGTTGAAACAAAATATTCCCTCCAACTCCAGAGAAGCAAACCGGAAGACCAAAGAACTAGTGTTGCTTAACAAGTGAAGGCCATGATGTCAAAGAAATTCCTTATAAAATAAGCCGAATGAATTCGATGGCTTCCCCGCTATTTTTTCTAATTTCTCCGCTTCAGTTTCGAGTTCAACGTTTAACACCTTAACCTTCTATTGCATTGCCTGTTTTGCATTTTTGGCTACAAGGGGCGTGTAAAGGGCTGTTTCAGGCATCTTCATATGTTAGTAGAAAGTGAACAAAGCCCGGATGTCTCCGAATATCAAAATAATGTGCCAAACTTTAAAACCATACATATTCAGAAAATAATGCGCCAAACTTTATAATCATACATATTCAAAATAATGCTCCATACTATATAACCATACATCAAAACCTGAAGAAACAGCGGGTGGCCATACGCTTGAAGAAAAAACCATAGCACCATGAAGTACATGGATTTATAACCATAGATATTCAGAAAATGCAGCTGGGGCCTGGGGTGCCCCAAAGCTCAGTGTAGGCACCTGAATTGGGTCTGCCCCATGGTTGAAAAGTATCTAATGTTAATAACTCTTGCATAAATAGTCAAATTGTCTATTAATGAAAAATGAAACAATTTTTTTCTCTATTTATCACGAATTTCAAGAAGAACAAGTAGTTTCCATGAATAACTACATTAATGTTAGCTAATATCTAATGATTCATTTGCTTTCATTATCTATTAAGTCCTGTTTGATTCTCTTTATTTTACTTTAATTTATTTTTCATAAGTATTTTCAACTATGCATTCATATTATAAAATATTATACATGTAAATCCAAAGATTTTCTCTATTTTTCAACACATTCTCAAAAAATATTATTCAGATTTTTTTTTCTTTTTTAATTTTGAAGCCACCAAATAGGGGCAAGGTGTTGACCAATAATTGGGAAAAAAATGAAGAAGATGAAGTTAGAAAAACCATTAATACTAAGAAATAACTATATGCTTCCATTTCATAAGAAAGTCATATAATTTTATTTAGAGAAATTTAATCTCATTCAAATTTGTGAATTGATCATGCTCTCCACAATTCTCAAAAAAAAAGGTTATTTTTCATTGAAATCTTGTGTTTTATTCAAAGTTATGTTTAATAGTTGTTGTNTTCTTGTAAAAATGTATTTTACAATAGTAAATTGATGAAAAATGTATAGTTAAAAAATAATGAAAAGATTTTGATTTACGTGTCATATTATTTTAATAAATAATGTGTGATTGAAAAGAAAATTGAAAAAAATGTATTTTGAAAAAAAATGAGTACCAAACGGGGCTTTAATCTTGTGGGGGAAAGGATAGGTAAAATGCTCCTTTTTCTCATCCATTTTTTAAGTTTTCTCCTTGTTTTGAAATATATACGGTGCCTGAATGACATACTTAGAATGCAGAAAGGACTTTCTCTAAGACTGTAGAAATGTCTTAGCTGATTTTACAAGTAGCAGAGCAGACAACATGAATGCAGTTATTTTCACCTTTCCCTTTATATATCAGACTGAATACCCAGCCCGTCTCTCTCTGCGTACTGTCACGCGGATAATTGTACATATTTTTAACTGTCCATAACCACCGACCAGACAGCTCCCATTTCATTTCAAAAACAAATAATGGGTTAGCCCTATGGCCCATCAAATACGGACAGTAATAAATTCCAATGCCATACAGTGAACGGGTCGAGCTGGACAGTAATAAATTTTAACAATTTTGTATACTGGATATAAATAAGAAATGGACCATGTTACTCAATCATAGAGGCTGACATCGAGAATGACAAATCACACACACACGGAGGAGGTCAAATTATTTTATTCATGGGAACCCACCACCTCCGATGTGAGTGTTATGTTATCCATTGTGTCAAGAATTATGTTAATTTGGCTTAATTCATAAGAAATTATGCAATTTTGCGATGAAAAGGCAAATTTATTTTATATATTAAAAGCGGTAAAAGGTGGATTTATACATACACGACATAATTGATTGCTTCAAACAAAAGTAATAGCAATCATGGTTCAATAAAGTTGTCACGGGGAGAAGCCCCCTTGAAGGAATTTCGACGTGCTGTAGCCAGAACAGTCTTGTCAGCCACAATAAAATACGCCATTCCAGCCACTGTGGAGATGATTAGGGCCTGAGCAGTGGGATTGAGATTAGCTCTTGCCCAAGGCATCATTCTTGCACTTGCCAACTGTCAAAAATATGTTTATAATAAGTTGAATCGAAAATAATCAAACATGCAAGAGCCCAATTATAATCGATAATTTAATTCACGTACAGTAGGAATTGCGGTAGCAATGGAAGCCATGACCGCTGCTTTGGCTCCCGCCATTACACCTTCTGCACAGGCGTATAAATATGTTCATTATACTATTCAGTACTGTACGTTTAAAAAAAGGGAAGAAAGTTACATACCATGAGAACAACGCTTGGCAATGGCTAGTCTTTGATCGAGGGAAGCCAAACTGGTTATTTCAGCAACATTTTTGGCCATTATAGTGTGGTTTGGTTGGTTTGTAGTTAATCAAAGAGAGAAATATTGGTGGAGTCTTTGGGGTTGATGGAGTTAGGTATTTATAGAGATTTGATAGCCCCCTGAATCTTTTTTTCAGCAACAACATTTGATGGTTTCATTTTCATTTCAAAGGTTGATTCCCTTTTTTTTACCATCAATTCACCACTCACTTGAAATTACAATATAACCCTTCTGTCAGACAAAAAGAGGATTGAAAGGGTGAGGGTACGAGAGTCATTTGCGGCACGTGAGGTGTGTGCTGATCAACCCGAGAACAATAAAAAATTCACTTAACCCTCAATGACACAGGAATCCATAAAAATGGGCTTTTTCCATTTATAAAACAATTAGTGTACTTTTTCCAGTATTGTATCTTTTCACCCACTGGTTCAAAATTCATGTTATCCAAAACCGTGGGTTAAGACATCAAATTCCATTGGATTTTAGTGTGTTGTAAGAGCATGTAAAGGAAGTCTTATAAATTGTTTAAATTTTAAATAAGTATAAACGAGTGATAAATAATTGAATAGTACTAGTGAATGTCTCCAAATTTATGAATAATTTGTTTTATCCAAAATAGATCAAACATTCTGTAATCCCTAATTGTTAAGTTTTTTTATATTGCAACTGTACGACATCGTAATAAGTAATATAATGGACCTTTGAATTCGAATTATCGTTCTCACGAAAATTATACGTCAATACTTAATTTACTTATTTAAAGTCATATTTGATTAAAACAAAAAAATTATGATTGTTTCGATTATTTTTTTAAGCTATAACGACTAATTGAACGTATCAAAATTTCACACAAAGATCAATTTAAAATTCAAATATAGGATGGATATTAGGGCGTAATAATTTTATCTATTGATCAACTTTAAATCTTAATTCGAGATTCACAATCTAATATAGTGTTCGGTCGAATTTTTCTATTGTATTCAATTTACTCATCTTGACTTTTTATCGAGTTTATTTAACTAATTCAATCTCATATCTTTATGCGAATCAATTTTAATTAAACGAAATATTAGTTCTAATAAATCATATAGAGACCACAATAATTAGTATAAGTATCTCTACACGTTATACTAAATTACTGAATTTTAATATGTGGTCTAAATCTAAAACTCATCTCTTGATTCATAATAGATTCATAAAATCATTGAATTGTTGATCAACTAAAAAAACTTGAATCTTAAATAAAAGAAATAAAGGGTCTTAAAAGATCACATAATTTACTGTAATGAAAAACTTAGCTAATCACAATAATAGAAGAAAAACAATTAACAATATTAGAGTAAATCACAGGCTTTGAATTGATATGTGGAGAAGTGAATGAATCTTGCACCAAAATTCTCTTCTGATTTCTTGTTTTTCACCTGTGATCTTGCTCTCTTAATCTCAAGTTGTGTTCTTATGAATCTCAATATATGGAATTCCCCAAAAGTGCCTCATTATTGCATTTGTACCTTTCTTCATATTTTTCCTTAATTTAGAGTTCTTATGGGCTTCAAAATGGGTCAAAACGCACCCTTCATACATCCAGGAGCCACCTAGGTGCCATGTGAGTGGCTATGTGGCGCCGTATCAACGCCATATCCCCAAAAAAATTCAGAGATAACTCAAAGGGTTACAATTTTACTAGAAGTATCTCTTCCATTTTGAACGTTTACTAGGCCCAAAAATGGGTTTAATCTCCTGCTAAAAATTTAAAATATCTTTGTACGGTTGAATTTTGATTTATAAAAATATTTTGACCATATTTCACTCCCTTTGACTTCTAACTGCATCCAATTGGCCCCTAGTATTTTTTAATTTTCATTATGAAGTCTGACACAACTTTTGAGTATTTATACCTTTGTTCCCAAACTTTGGATCTTGCCTTTTATTGCCAATTTTCGCTCATTTCTTTCAATTTCACTTTTATTCATGAAGTTTTACCTAATTAACGAAATATACAATAACTTAAGATAATTGTTCAAAAGAAATATTAAATATCCATATTTTTAGGTTCAAATAAGTATATAAAATACAACTTATCACTAATCTTTAGTTATTGTCACCTTCTAATATGTTGCTTTTGCATTTGATTTGTGATAATTGCATTTTGGAGATGTCGAGTGTGATTTGGAATTCAATTTCCTTGACGTCACATCATTGGTAACAAATGCGACATTTTATTTCTCATTTTCAATACGAGTACTGTATTCCGACTAGTTGATATTAAGTTGACTACGTATTCACTAGATGTGACCTCAATTTATTTATTTATTTTGTTAATGTGACATTCAATTAGTTACTTTAAAAATTCGAGACATGATTAGCGCATCTATAGTGTTGTTGAAAAAATTACGATCCTTAATCTCTCATACATAACCTCAGTTTATTCGAAGGCCCAGGGTCCGTCAAACCTCTTGCTACTTCCTTGTTTGAGCTCTACGGGGTTGATTATGGTTCATTGCACAATCTTCAATTGAATATTAAGGTTACAAGATTGTATAGCTTCCAAAAAACAAACAAAAACCACATCAGAATAGTGATTCCACCACCCAAAAATAAAAGTTCCTTGTCTATCTATTTTCTCAGTATAAAATTTCTTTAAACTGAAAAACACTGCATAATTGAATACAATGTTATGTCACTCATAAAGTTGGATCTTCTATCGGTCTCGTTGATATACCATATTTTATGAGTGTTTATAGGATTTGCTTTTAGCATCTTTGTTCTATCAAGAAGTTCTTTAATCACCTCATCACGAGATAAAAATTGCTCTCGAAGAGCCTTCCGGGGTACAGCTCAACTGGTGGATCAATCAACATTGTCTTGTTTCCAGCGGCAGGGTGGAGAGTTCGATTCTTGGTGGGAATCTGCGGCCAAATATTTGGTATGGAGCAATCACTGTGGAAGAGGATCTCTTGTGTGCAAAAGTGTACAGGCAATGGGGGGAACCTGTGATCCAGTCGAGGCATAACCCGCGATTTACCCCCTCCAAGGTTCTAGGGGTAAGGGTCTTGGGGGGTCCAGGATTTAGTCTGGTGTAAACTAGGATACCTGGATATCAAAAAAAAAAAAATTGCTCTCGAAGATCTGTGTTCTGAACTTCAACTCCCAAGAAATAGTTTAAAGGTTCAATACATTTGAGATAAAATTTTACCAATTTTTGAATTTCCACATAATTGGTAATCAAGTTGTCATCAACTAATGTACTCGAACTTTCATAGATAACATAAGTTTGTGTGAACCTACGGAAAATGCACTTATCAGAAAGACATGACGTAAAATTGAGCCGTTAAATACACTTTTTTATACTGATTAGTCTCTTTGTACACTTTTAGTGTACATAATTATTTACACCCTCTCACATGGAGAGGGCTCCATGCATAATAAATTATATGCGGCCCCCTCCATGCGAGGGGTGTAAACAATTATATATACCAAAAGTGTACATGTATCGTAATCCTATATCAAACCAAGCCCGAGAGCTTTGTTTTTTTTTTTTTTTTTTTTTTAAGCTATAAGATGCTTTATTAAGAAAAGCAGACAACCAGTAAATTTTAATAAAGCTCTGTGAAATTTAGCCTGACACACAAATTATAATTTACTAAAAGCTTTGCCAAACATCTCCTAATTTGCGAGCAAGCAATCAAACTAATTTAGTTTGAGAAGTAAAGAATCAAAGAAATCCAAGGAAAGAGTGAAACTGAAAACGTGATTGATGAGCGAGAGAACGTGAGAGAAAAGAACGAGTTATTATATTTTATCACAAATTTGACAAAAAATAGAAAAGGAAAAAACTTGGAAGAATTGAAACTTCAGTTCTCAAATCAACGGTGAGAATCCGATCGAAATTCACACATTCTCGATGAAATGTTTCAAAATCGAATTGTTCCTTAGAGTAATCAAAATCAAATCGATCGATTACATCTAGTTCGGACCCAATTTCACCTGCTCCCAAAATTAAATAAATCGTAGAATCATTTATAAGTGAATATATTACTTAATGTTACATAAATTGATGCTTTAACACTATTGATATTAATATCTCATTTGGCTGCATTATTTGTGATTATAATTTTTGGAATAGTATTTTTTTTTAACTAAGAATGTGTGGTTAAAAAAGAAAAAAAGATTTTGAATTTACGTGTAATATTATCACTACTATCTTAAAAGAGCGAATCAGCCGATTACCATTCATTCATGACGTATTTAAGTGTTTCCCATTTTACCCTGAACTCCCTCGCACAATAACTCTCACACTAAGGGTCTAATGACTTTTTTGTATGTAGATAAAATATCTCTCCATCTTGACAAAAAATCAAAAATAACGTGCTACGTAAAGGGTTTGATATATTCTCTTTCCAAAAGAAAACAAAACCATCTGTTACCTAATTTCTCTTCATTCGTATCATTGATTCAATCGTTGAAAAAATTTCAAAATCATTTGTCGGAACTGAGAAATCCTTTACGCAAACACCCTTGTTATTTCCTTTCTCACACAAAATCGTCTCCTCGACTTTTGGTGAAAATCCCTACTACAATAGAAGAGTGAATGTGATGAGTACTATTGATTCAGGACGTATTTTGTATTTCCTATTTTATCATTAAATATCCCATAATATCACACTTCACTCCTGAAATCACTACTAAAGGTCTTCCTACGCGTGTATGGTGTTGCTGTTTTGCCTGATTCGAATTTTTAAATTAAAAAAAAAATAGTCGATGTCATACCACATAATATTTTTTTTAATAAAATGATGTAAATTATATTGAGAAAGTTGTCGCGAAAAAATAATAAACATTAATAAAATAATTGATTTCTTTTAAGAAAAAAGATGAGCTATATGCATTTAACTATTTTCAATATTCAGTTAGATCATTTGATGTGTCTATGATATAGTTCTCGAAATGAGTTTTGAGATAATATAGAAGATTTATGCATTCGACTACCATACAATCGTCGATGAATTATTAAAGTTAGCTTGTTATCGAAATTTCATAATTTTTTAAATGATGTCTCTTTTGACATTAAACAAAATTAAAACTTTATTAGGAAATTTACTAAATGACGTTAAAAATTTTATTATATTATTTAAAAAATTAATTGATCGAAAGG